TATCTTATATGCAGCTCTTGAATCGCTCAAGGGTTTGCTCTAGATATCTACATGTATACTGTCTTGAATCGCTCAAGAACGTTCTATCTTATATGCAGCTCTTGAATCGCTCAAGGGTTTGCTCTAGATATCTACATGTATACTGTCTTGAATCGCTCAAGAACGTTCTATCTTATATGCAGCTTTTGAATCGCTCAAGGGTTTGCTCTAGATATCTACATGTATACTGTCTTGAATCGCTCAAGAACGTTTCACTAGATATTTACATTTGGCCTGTCTTGAATCGCTCAAGAGTTGTCTGGCCTACTGAAAATATATTACTGAGAATATATTTTTTGTTTTTCCTTGTGGCCTCTTTCTTTGCTTAGGAGGCTACCTCGTCAGTACACGTTTGTTTTTGTAGTACTGTATATAGTTAGCTTATTGTGTTGAGTGAGTAGCCCCTGATACGCCAAAGTATAAGTTTGTATTTTCTTTTTATCTTGCTGTCTGCCTCATTTAAATATCCCGAATTGTAATAAACAGGTAAACTGTTGTTTCATCGTTTTTGTTGTGTATAAATCATGGGTTATAGATTTAGCTTATTGGACCAGAAGTGTAGATATTGTATACCCTAAAATCTCGGTAATAAGCTGTGGCTTATTTCCTGTTTAAGTGAGGAATCCAAGGCTCATTCTCCAAGCTGACTAACTTGTAATGCCCTTCAGAGAATTTGGTTGGATATCGCCTCTTTTCAAGACTGTCTTATTTTAAAATTCACATATACGCAGAAAAAAGGCTATCCAAAGATGAAAAATAGCATTGTTCACTGCATATTTTCTGAATTTACTCATATATAGATGTAGATTCACTGTAAATGTGTTATCCTAGCACTCTTTCTTTGTACAGCATTTAAACACATTTTCGATGTAGATATTTGTCAACAAACATATTCGTTATGGAGCGCTACTATCGTATACACAATCAAAACGAAGGTCAATTCTTATTTGGGTATATGAGTCTTGTTGGACTATTTACATTTAAGGGTGCTAGCCTAACTAGCAAAGACAATAGATAGTCTTCTCTCCGCTCATGTAAAAGCACTACAAATATCCGTTTGCTGTCTAGCCTTAGGCGCTTAATATTGCAGAAATATACATGATACATACAAAATACAGATGTTCTATATACCCGGGACATTCGTTAACAGAACTCGCTATCTGTTATTCAAAAACCTCCTTCCCCATCTTAAACCAAAAAAACTGCCGCCCAGCTACTGTCCGACTTCCAACGCCCATGTCTCTTCAGACATCGATCACTTACATTTCGGTTTAACTATCGTATACACAATCAAAATGAAGGTCAATCCTTATTTTGGTGTATGAGTCTTGTTGGGCTATTTACATTTAAGGGTGCTAGCCTAACTGACCAAGACAACAGATAATAGTGATATAGGGCTTGTTTTGATGTATGGTTCACCCCAGTGTGATATACGGCCTTGTGTTGTCCACTAATTATTAGTGTTAAGTGGTAAATTGTAGGATGCTTGTCGATCTGAAAGCCATAACTGCTGCTGGACGGTGGTCAGTCAATATATCGAACTACCAGATCCAATCACAGATGTGTTCGATTTGTGTGCTGAAGTGTTATTTACACTCGTAGTGTATGATGATGTGCCCAAATCCATGACAGTCTGAGTCATGGTTGTTATACTATTTTTTTTTGTCTGGAAATGTGGTTCCATCAGTGACTTTATATGCCCCTGCCATAAAATGAAGGGGCATATAGTGTTGCCCATGTTCGTCCCGTCCCGTCCCGTCGCGTCGCGTCGCATCCCGTCACATGTATGTCAAGGCCAAGGTCACTGTTGCTATATATAGAAAATCATCAACTGATTCAATTTAAACACTTAGCAACTTCATCATTCTTTCACGGATTTTGGTCAAACTTTATATAAAGGTCATGCAAGTATGGGTATACCTCTGACATCCTTGTGTTTCAGGATGGTAATAACATACAAAAAACCAATATGAATATTAAAATCAACCTAGCAACTTTAAGTGTAGTTACTGTGTGTGTGCATGTTTCAGGGTATCAAGATCAAAGTGGTTGTAACTTTTTATAGAACACTGAAACTAATTTCACATGGCAGCGGGGGGCATTTATGTCTTACAGACATTTTCTAGTCCATATCTGTTCTGACGAAGCCTTATAGCCTTAGTAACTTCTGGAAAATATCACACACAAAAAACCACATGGTTTGGGGATTTTTTCATTGATTTTTGAAAAATGTGGCAGAAATAAACCAATGAAAGGTGCTCTACAATAGCCCCAGGTTAACCTTGATAAATAACTGATATCATCATTAGATATTGTTTATTGATAATAAAACCATAAAATAAGGTTAGGATTCTAGATAAATTTTGTCTAAAGAGAAAGACGTCACTATGACAAGCTCATTTTCCTTATTTTCTTTTTTTTACTGGATCCAGTAAAACTTTTTGATATAATTAGGGTCCAGTAATTGTGTAATGGGTCTGGATTTATTAGGAAAAAAATCATTGTCGTAAGGCTAATTGATTTTCATTTGAAATCCAATTGAGAATCCAATATTGCTTCGTCATTACAATTCAGCTGTTAAATAGTTAGCAAAAAAATCTGCCGATTGTAACTGGATCTCATCCAATTGATGCCTACTAGAACGGAAAAGCCATTTTGTTTATTTCGCTTTCAAAATCTCTGACTACTGCAACCATGTATAATTGTTTTTAAAATGCCTGAGTAATCGTATAATGCCATGATTATCTGAAAAAGAAAAATATCAGAATCAGAAATCTTTTGTAATTTTATAAGAAAGATAAAATGGATTAGCATGGCAGGACTGTACTATTGCTAGGGTAAAGTACAACCACTAAATATAATGTTACCGGCTGCTCAGGTCCGTGGCAGACGTTGCATCAGGAGGCACTGAAATGGTACAATTGATATGATGCATGCATGCAAATATGAAATCAATAAATCAAATGAAGGGGAAATGATTTACAGCCAATCATTTCAGAGAGTTGTGAGAAAAAACGGATCGTTGGAAAAGATCGAGGCAGTGATTTGGAATCCTACGCTGGCATGCGAAGTACCCCTCCCTCGTTGCACTGAGTTAATCATTATACAGTTTTACTTTATTACTGAGAGCTGCTAGGTGGACAAAACCAATATGGTCAGATTCAGAAATAATTTAGTGTGTTCATGGACAGTGTAGGCCTATATACTGTAGGTACTTGATGAGGTCTTGTTTGTGAGCCTGCCTTAACATCTTCCTTACACTGACTTATAGGTGGTCAATTTTCAAATTACAGAAACCTAACTGCAGCAGTTCTCTTTAGATGTAATTTGTATTTTGTGTAACTAAAAAGTGAGCTAGGATCGATAGATAACGAGGTAAATCGAATTGACTAATCTCATTTTATGGGTCACCCTATATCTAGAGCTGTTATCGCGCTGTTTGAAACCTCTTACGAGTCTTGTTGTGTTTTCAGCACCAAACCAGGAGGTCAGAGACAAGCTGTTGTGTTTTCAGCACCAAACCAGGGTCAGAGACCAGCTGGAAATGTTATCTTGAAATTTTGTTTTTATGCATCTTACATAAGGTTATCATTTCTGACATTAAAGAAATCAGAATACTGTTTAAACGAAGAGGTTAAGTCATTAATTCTATCAGGCAGGCTCCATTAATGATGAAATAGTACAGAGATTTTTCATAATCAATTTTGGTTGTGGCCGTTGCTGTCCGTGGAAGGCGGGGAGTATTTGTTCCGTGCCTTGATGTCATTACCATTACAGTCACTTATAAGTGATAGTTCTATCAGTTAATGCCTCAAGTGTTGACTCATCAAACGGATCAATGGACAATAAGAAAATGCTATATCACTTTCAGTCTTAAAAATTCGACAATCCTACAATATTTTTAACGATTGTTGTTGTGCCGCTAGAACTCATGTCATGAGGACTTGTTTATTTAAGTCTGCTGTGGAGGTCCGTAAACTAACCAGAAGCCTGTTATACCCCAAACTGATGACACAAATGTTTACACAAGAGTCAGCATCAAAATAGTTCAGCCATTCATTTAACTATTGACTAAATAACAGATGCTAACGTGACTTTGTTTTTTTGAAAAAGCTGGAAGGAAGATAGGATTGATTGTGAATGTTGGCACAAGTATTGTCATTTCTCCCCTGATCAATAGTATTCAGTGACAGGCACACGGCTGCTTTATATCACTGCAAAATTTAACTGACCACTGACCAGGCTGGGCCACAGCAACATGCACACCGCACTGTGGCATTGATGTGGTAAGGTGTCCCCAGGATTAGTATCGGTGACAGTAACTAGTAGGTATTTACTCGGAGCCTTGTGTTGTGAGGCACTTTGGCCTACGACTTGATTGCACAGTCACCTCGGGACATCAGTCAGGATCAGATCGTCACTCACCTTCCGTAGCTGTTTCGTAATGTAAGACGCGCAGACACAGGCCATGACAATATTTAGGTAAATGCTTAAGGAGATGAAAGCTGGAGTAACAGAGCTTTCCTGTGCAGTGTCGTGACATCCTGGCGCGTGTGTGCATGCATGTGTGAGTGCCCTTTGGTTGTAGGGTTACTTGTCGTTTGAGGATCATGTAAGAAGGTGGGACCCTCCGTGGACAATAATAACTCACCATGGCCTGGTGTCTTAACACCGGAAGGTAAGCAATGTCTCTATACAGTCACAAGGTCTAATATTAACAAATCATGTTTTAGTAAATTGAAATGAAAATTAAGGATATATTAAAAAAAAAAAAAAAAAAAATCCTACAGAAAATAAAGAACACACGAAGCAGTCACTTATTCAGGTTAGTGAATAGGAGCATTATCATCTACTTTATTGTTTAGGTAAAGGTAGCTAGTTATTCATTAGAAAGCAGATACGTAGGTTTTCAGATACGTATTAGTTAATCCAACAGGTTATTAGCAATTTATTGGTTATGAATAATAGGGCTACTCATTGATTGAAACTAAATATGACATTTATCATTTACTGGATAGAAAGGTTATCATTTAATAAAGTAAAAAAGAAGGTTATATACTCATTACTTTATTAGTAAGTGGAAAGGAGGGTTATTTAATATTTGTTAAAGAATGAGTAGTTACTAGTTACTAACTAGTTAGTGGAAAGGAGGGTTATTTATTATTGGTTAAAGAATGAGTAGTTACCAGTTATTTATTGGTTAGTGGAAAGGCAGGTTATCTGTTATTGGTTAAAGAATAAGTAGTTCCCAGTTACTTATTGGTTAGTGAAATGGCAGGTTATCTGTTATTGGTTAAAGAATAAGTAGTTTCTAGTTACTTATTGGTTAGTGAAAAGGAGGGTTATCTGTTATTGGTTAAAGAATTAGTAGTTACCAGTTACTTATTGGTTAGTGAAAAGAAGGGTTATCTGTTATTGGTTAAATAATAAGTGTTTCTAGTTACTTATTGATAAGTGGAAAGGAAGGTTCTCTGTTATTGGTTAAAAGAATTAGTAGTTACCAGTTACTTATTGGTTAGTGAAAAGGCAGGTTATCTGTTATTGGTTAAAGAATTATTAGTTAACAGTTACTTATTAGTTAGTGGAAAGGCAGGTTATCTGTTATTGGTTAAAGAATCAGTAGTTACCAGTTACTTATTGGTTAGTGAAAAGGCAGGTTATCTGTTATTGGTTAAAAGAATTATTAGTTACCAGTTACTTATTGGTTAGTGGAAAGGCAGGTTATCTGTTATTGGTTAAAGAATCAGTAGTTACCAGTTACTTATTGGTTAGTGGAAATGCAGGTTATCATTTATTGGTTAAAGAAAAAGTAGTTACCAGTTACTTATTGGTTAGTGGAAATGCAGGTTATCAGTTATTGGTTAAAGAATTAGTAGTTACCAGTTACTTATTGGTTAGTGGAAATGCAGGTTATCAGTTATTGGTTAAAGAATTAGTAGTTACCAGTTACTTATTGGTTAGTGGAAATGCAGGTTATCAGTTACAATGCAGTGGAAGAAAAACAGTGTTTTCATGATAGTTAATAGCTTTGGAAATTTGTCGTAAGGCTTTTGTGAGTTATACCAGGTCGATCAAGAGGCCATTATATCTAGATGAGTGTTTATGTGAGTGTACCTTGATATCCTGGTACACAATGATGTAAAACCTGTCATGCTGTGTGTGTATAGGATATGTTGTACTGTAACGCTACAAAGATTACCATACAGTTCAGGATATAGCATTAAGGACAAGGAAATTGCATTTCTCCGACTTTCCTCAAAGTCGCAAATAAGCCCTCGAAATAGAATTTCACAGATGGTTTGGTTGTTAGGTTGTTGAAGCAGGCTTCGTTTTGATTTGTCCATGTGAGGCAACCTTCGTTGTAGCATTAGAACAGGGAACGTCATTGGTTTTGCATCAAGCATTATTCCAAGAAATATCCAAAGGGTTATAGGCAATATTAGATTCTCATAAACGTGATTCCTGGAATTGTTCAGACAATATATTACAACCTCAAAATAGCATTAGTATTTCAGATAGCAAATTGATGTTTGATTTTTGTTATGATGAATAGATGACATTTTTATTGCTAAGGCGAGGTTACGTTAATGACAGATAGTCAAATGATATGGTACAAAAAGCTGAGAGATTCAATTTGTTTAATGTTTTTTTGCATTATTCATTGATAGTTTTATGGAATCTCTACTTTGAACTTGTAAATCATTCTGCCATTGTTGCAGTGGAAAGACATTAATATTTGCAGGTATAAATTAACTAAACATTTCCGAAAGAAAACTGATACAATTCTATCATAAAATGATTTTGCTAATGTTACAATTCAGAACTAGGTCTTTCAATTTTCAATTTTAGAACGACTACATCTTCCACATTCAATTTTAGACAAATACTTGTTTAACAAATATCATGTTAATGATTGATTTTAATCCGTTTTGTATTAATGTTAACTCATTCACCCCTGAACTTTCATAATAAACTATTCCAACCTTTGAATTGGAAGAGTTCATGTGTGTCTTCAGGGGTGAATGAGTTAAACTTTTCATAATAAATCTAAGGTAACAATTAGTGTAAGAGATTTGAAAGTTTACTTATTCATTGTATTACTTTGATTTCCAGAGGTATCAGGTACAGCTTTGTTAGCAACAATTATTAATAAAGTCACAGTGAATACAATATTCTATTTGTTTACCAATAAATATAGGAGGCACCCTAGGTATTTGTGTGTTTACCAATCATTGTAGTAGTTCCACTAAGTAATTCTGTTTATCTATGACTTGTAGAGCTACACTAGATATCCAGTCCACTTAGTCAAAATGGCCACTGAACTTATGCCATGGTGCGACTCTTGCCGTCTGTCTCATCACTGTTAACATTTTAATTTAATCAACGTACTTCTTCCAAACACATTCAACATGAAAAATTTCAAATTTGTTGAAATATTTAAACTTAATCTTTATAATGGCCAATAGATTAAGGGTAATTATAGTTGTCCAGTAGTATGCTGGGATGAAAAATAACCTTGACAGATATTCAAGGTGAAAGGAATTTAATCTATTTAGGCATTCTGCTTAACAAGGAAGAGACCAAGGGTGATTATATTCTGCAATCGGTATGCAAATACTGTCATGTCATGTCGTGTTCAAATAAAATGACCTTGACCCACTTTCAACATCATCAGGGTTTAACTTGTGAAAACTTTTATGTGATATTTGGCCAGTAACATGCTGGGATGAATTGGGCTATCAGAGTTTTTGAATGGCTTTGATAGTCTTACATTGTTACAGGGATCAGATATGTAAGAATCTACATCAAATAACTTCTCCTGTCAATAACCAAGAGGCCCAGGGTCATGATATTCAGCCTGTAGCATGCTTTGGATTATAGTGTTCCAATGATAGACCTTGACCCTTTTTCAAGGTCACAAAGTGCATTTATGAAGAACAAATAAAGCAACAACTCCTAAAGGTCTTTAAGGCCTAGATTAAGAACACTTGTTCTGTAGTACTGCTGTAATGAACTACCAAGTTTGCTTAAATAAATAATATTGATAAACTTTAAACATGAAAAGAAAAGTTTAAATATTCCAACAAAGACCCCTAAGGTATAGAGTATTGACATGAATTACTGGTGAGTGATACAGGCTTATGGGGCCTTTTGTTCTGGTGACCAATGACTATTAGAGTCACATTTATATGTCTATGTTTACCAATAACTAGTAGAGAAGCTCAGGATATTCCTGTGTTTACCAATGACTATTAGAGTTACACATTTATATGTCTATGTTTACCAATAACTAGTAGAGAAGCTCCAGATACTCCTGTGTTTACCAATGACTATTAGAGTTACACATTTATATGTCTATGTTTACCAATACCTAGTAGAGAAGCTCCAGATATTCCTGTGTTTACCAGTGACTTATAGATACAATTGATATATATGTGATACGGAACGTTAGACCGTTTCTCACTGTTTCTGTTACTCACTCAATTCTGTAGTGCCAATAGCAGTCAGGCGGTGACAACTACATCCAAGGCCGAGATAGACGCTGCTCCTCCCCAACAGCAAACTGTTGTAGAATTTATTCTCAGGTAATTAGATGCTGCTCTGTATATAGCTTGACCCTTGACCTTCCACACCTTAGTTGACCATGGCCCTTTCCCTCTGTAAGTTAGCCCCAGCCAAGCTTCCCCTTTGTAAAAGTGACCTCTGAACCCATATGTATGTCAGTCCAGTATATAGAGGTCAAGGTTTTGTTGTATAGTGATATTGTTTGCTCTATATATCTATATCTATATATCTTTGCTGTTTGACCGTTGACCAGCTGCCTCAATTATTTTCCGTTATGTTTGTTTGGTGGTCAGTGTCTATACCATATATCATGTCTGGTCTGTTTGCCACTGTATGATTTGTCTTGACCTTTAACCTTTGACATTCGTCTTTGGTGAAGTGTTTCTGCCATATACTTATTCCAATTAAAGATGGAACCCATTTTTACAGCCATTATGATCCTTCACTAGAGTCATCATTACTGGTGATCAAAGTGTGATTTGTCCTTCCCATGTGTCCGGTACTTGTTTTATTTGAATCTTGTCTGACAGCTTACCATTTGAATCCAGGGATCCCAGCAAATGTTATTAAATACCACACACTTTTTCGTTAATGAGTGTTCCTAGTTTATCCAGCTTGTGATGGTGACCTTATAAACATGTATTAATATATAACCTGGAAAAATCGCCCTATCATATTGGTATTATGTCCTGGTCTATGATTTCTGTTGTAGTCTTATTGATTATATTTTAACTATATTAGTTTATAGTTGTGAAACACTAGACCAGCAAAATGTAAATTGACTTGAGTAAATTGATTGCAGACCATGTAGTGATGTCATGCTCTACCTCTAGAGAGTTTATACTTGTCGTGTGAAGTTATACATACAGACTGATGTCTGTGACGATCCCTGTCCTGATGCGTCCCTACCGTGACCCTGACCCCAATACCCCATGATTAAATGTCCCTGTGCTGTACGCCAAAACGTCACTACAACATGATGTTTGATAGTGAAGCAAACCGCAATATTTCATGCCCAATGATATGATGCCTTACCGCACAATTATATGTTCTCCGATACGTCTCGTGATACTCAATTATACGTTACTATGTGCTGTAGCCCTAATGCACCAC